TGAAGCAAGGTCACTGGTTTGCTGGGTGAATATCCCAAAGGTGGTTACAAGTTACTGGGCTGGGAGAATTTTGGGGGCAAGAACTGTATTTTTGACTTTGGATTCCTGGTAAAGAATCTAGCACAGTGACAATCAGTATTTGTCAAACACACAAATTTGTTTCAAGTGCAGGCCTCCTGTCTTAGTTTAGCTTGAGCAACCCAGAACACAAACAAGTGCCATTAATCTGGCACATGTTCTGTATTCTAAGAAGTCAAAGGGAAACCTAAAGTGAGAAACATGAACATTTAAATATTTGATGTACCATCCTGATTCTAATTAATGTAGAAATTGATGTGATGAAAATTGGTAGAAATCATGGCAGCAATTTTGCTCTGAACTTGATAAAGGGTTATATGGTACTTCCTGCTCCTTGGGAAATGGGGGATGCTAGTGAACTGATGTAACCTGGATTTTGTTTGTTTCCATTTTCAAGGGGCAGAATTCTATGGAAACTTGAATTAATTGGTTTTCCTGTTATAGTTACCTGAAGACTCAGGCCCTGGGAGTCATAACCATATGGCACAAAGTGGGAATTAATTGTGTGGCATTTTTTGATAGGATCATTCATTCATTCTGTGTATTTAACTGAGCACCATCTTGGGCTCCAGGTTTATATCAGTCAAATAGACATGATACCTGCCCTGATGGAGTGTGCCTTGTCATGAACAAACAGCATCAATAAGTACACAAGAAAATAAATATCTCAGTGCAAATTGTGATATATGCTATGATGAAAGTGAATAGAATACAGGGAGAGCTAGAGAGGTGTGAGGTGAGGCTCACAGAGAGAGCAGTATGTGCAAGGTCACTGGGGTGCAATGGAGCTTGGCATGTTGAGGGTGCTGAGAAGCTGAGTGCGAGCCAGTGGGCCTGGAACATGTTCAGGAGGAAGAGCGGGTATTAAATGAGGCGAGAGAGACCAGCAGGGGCCAGGCCATGCTGGGCTTTGTAGGAGGTACATGGATTTGGATTTTGAATCATGATGCAAAGACCAACATAATTGATTTAAACACGAATGCAACTTTTGGTCTGAAAGCATTGAATGAATCGAGACTTGTACTTCTTAAGGTAAATATTAGAATTCTTAAGTTAGATCCATTTTTGTTCCCATGGGAACACAATTCTATATGGTCACATATGATTATGGGAAGATAGATTTTTGATATTCAAATATTCAGGTAACATTTCATTTAGTTATATGTAGTAAACCAAAAAATAAAGCAAACGCAAGTTGTTTCCAGTTGTAAAGAAGGCAGCTTGGATGTACAGCTTCCTGTTCTCCCGTGGAGACTGTAGAGGGGAAATTTTCCATGAGCCTCTGCATTTTCTGCATGTATTGTGAGCTAGTCCCTAACTGCTGTTTGCTCTGAAATACCTTTTCCTGGATGTTTGTATAGGGAGAACACTTGAAAGGTAGAAATCATGTTCCCTTTATAACAAAGGACAGGCTTGCTTATAGTATTGAAAAGCAGAGATAGTATTTCCCCTCAGAGCAAAGGGCAGATAGGTTTAGTACTCTCTAAAAATCTGGGGCTCCTTAAGTGCAGGGTGTCTCTCCTGAAATGAAGCATGCTTCTGGACCTACCTACATTACTCCATGGCCAAGGGGAAATGACCAAGCATATATTGATGCTTGTGCCACTTGCTATGTGGTGAGCAATAGTCATTTTCTCTGACTCAGGAGTCTGTGTCTTCTGTCAGTATCCATAAAACTGGCAGGCTAACTAGTTAGCTTCTAAATGAGTAAAATCTCAGACCCTTCATAGTTCTTCACAGAGGCTCCTCAGCAGTCTGAGCAGGAAGGTACAATGCCAGGCAGGTGACATCCTAGTGCTTTGCAGCCCCTAAGATGTATAATTAGCATTTCTTGTCACTGTTTTTCTCCTCCAAAGTCACAAGATGAGCTATTCTCAGATAGTCACATCTTAAGTGTGACTTCTAGTTTAAAATATATGTGTGAAACCTCCTAGCTACTAATTATTATGGCTTGAATGTTCTTAACCAAGTGGGAGAATATTTCAACAACAAAGAATACTATGTTAAAATTTTAGGATCCTCAGGACGTAAAATATATTACAATGATACTTGATTTAAAATTTAAAATATTGTGTGTCTGAAATGTCACTCTTTTCTGAGAAAGGAGAGTGTTAGTCCCTTAGCGATTATCACATAAGACTCTTTCATGGAAATGTGCTTGGTTCACAGAACTATTATCGTCACAATGCAGGATCATCACTGGCTTGGGCTCTCGCTTTCTCCTGACCAGGGACTTGAGGAGTAGCCACTGCCACTGCTCCCATAGGACAATACCAGGCCCTGCTCTGGCACCTGCAGATGTTCTGTATCTGCAGTGTCCGATACAGTGGGCAGTAGCCACAAGTGTCCACTGAATGCTTGAAATTTGGCTTGTTTGAATTGAGATGTAAGTAGTATGGTGGCTCACACCCTGTAATCCAAGCACTTGTAGAGGCTGAAGCAGGAGGACTGCTTGAGCCCAGGAGTTCGAGACCAGCCTGGGTAACATATTGTGACCCCCCCCTCTACAAAATATAGAAATAAATAAATTTAAAAAATTATACAATAGAGTTCAGATTTAGGGCAGAAAAGGAATGTCAAATATTTCACTAATAATTCTTAAAATTGAGTATGTTTGGAATGATAGTATTTTAGGTAGGTTAAATCAAAATACTGTTAAAATTAGTTTCACCTCTTATTTTTACTTCCTTTTAATGTGACTACTAGAAAATTTTAAATGATATATGCAGCTCTCATTCTATTTCTATTGAACAATGCTGTTCTAGATTCTTGCTACTGGAAGGGTGCTTCTCGGGCGAGCACCATCACCATCATCATCATCTGGGAGCTGGTTAGGAATGTGGTATCCTACACCCCACCCCAGATTTACTGGGTCAACATTTGCATTTTAACAGAATCTCATGTGATTTGTATGCCCAGTTTGAGTAGCTTAGCTACCCGAAGACTAGAATTGACTGGTTCAGCAAACTAAAAATATAAGATGACCAGTTAAACTTAGTTTTTAAATAAACAATGTTTTAAATATAGTATGTCCCAGATATTGCATGGAACATACTTATATTACAATTATTTGTTGTTTTTCTGACATTCAAGTTTAACAGGTTATCCTATAGTTCATCTGTCAACATTACCTAAGACTAAAAAACTTCTCTAGTCCAGACCTGCTTGTTCCTTGAAATTCCATAGAATCAGGAAAAAAACAGAAAGAGAAAAGGTGAGGTGAAGAGTAGAAGCTGGGTGAAATGAAAGAACGCAGAGAAGAAAAGGCAGTATGAGGAGGCAGTAGGAATTAGATGGGGCAGAGAAAGGCCACATTTAAGGGCAGCGACCCTTTTTATTTTATATTTTTTGTTAGCAATTTTCTTCCTTATTTCTGCAATTCTCCTACTTCCCCTAGTCATTCTGCTTTATTTAACCAATAACAGGGCAGCTTTCTCTTTTTATTTTCTGTTGGGCTCCCCTGAACTATGTTGGAAGACAGTGGTGTGTGAGAGGAATAGGAATGTCTCCTCAGCACCAAGACTCCAGCTTTCAGATAGTCCATCATCTCTTTGAAATTTCACTTACAAATAGCCCTTTTCTGCCATAGGTACTTTGTCTTTAAGCCATCAAGGTTCCTAAGTGCTCCAAATAACACTTGACACTTCTGATTTTGGAGGATTTTCTTTATTGTGGCATTTTAATTGTATTTTTAAAAAATGTAAAACAACTCAGGAATTTTGTCATTTTGTTTTGTTTTTCAGGCTTTTTAGGGGAGTAAGGTGAAAGGCGAGGCCAGCAGGGAAGGAATAACAATAGGCACTCTATTCAGGTAAGCATTGAGTTAAGAAGAGCCTTTCATTGCGGGCACAGTGGCTCAAGCCTGCAATCCAAGTACTCTGGGAGGCCGAGTCTGGTAGATCACCTGAGGTCAGGAGTTTGAGACCAGCCTGGCCAAGATGGTGAAGCCCCACCTCTACTAAAAATACGAAAATCAGCTGGGTGTGGTGATGCATGCCTGTAGTCCCAGCTACTCTGGAGGTTGAGGCAGGAGAATTGCCTTGAACAAGAGGAGGCCGAGGTTGCAGTGAGCTGAGATCGCGCCTCTGCACTCCAGCCTGACAGAGTGAGACTCTGTTTCAAAAAAAAAAAAGAACCTTTCATCCATGATCCCATTTAATCTTCACAACAAATAAGCACCTCTGTCCCCACTCTGCACATAAGGACACAAGGCTCAGGAGGGAAAATAACCTGCCTGGTGTCAGCTTGCTCACTGGTAAGGGCTGGAGCTGGACAGGCACTTCAGCTTCTGACTCCAAAGCCGGCACTCCTCACCAGTGCTGTCCACACCGCTTGGCAAATGGAGGCTCGTGAATTCAACAGGAAACTGTGAACTAGGACCTGTATGTAAATTTAGGGAAGTTCCCGAGATTTTTATTTATTCACCTGAAAAATACATGTGAAAATATATACTTCATAGATTTTGGGGAGAAATTAATAGCTTCCTGAAGTGTAGTATGAAATATATAATAGTATGACATATATGTAGTATGAAGTATATAAAATAGAGAGTCCTAATAAGAATTATATGACAGTATCAAAACAATTCACATTTCTAAAATAAGCTTAAGTGGCAAATATATTTTCTTTAAAAATTGGCTCCTTAATAATCTTTACATGAGATGAATAATTAAAAACCTAAATACTGGTTTCACTCTAAGCATAATCAGACCCCTTTCTTCCTCCTCTCCCCATGGAATACATTCTGAGAAAGCTGCCCTGTTATTGGTTAAATATGCTGTCAGTCACATGGCATGAAAAGTACTGCCTCTGCTCTGTTTGCATTTATGAATTAACAGATGTGCTTGCTTTGGAGAAACTGATTCTTTTCTTGATGGGCAAAAAAATCTTGTTTAGTGTTTCACTAATTTTTTTATGTATAGGATTTTCACTAGCTTTGGAGCATATATTTGCCAGGAAGAATGTAAGGTGAGTAACTGCACATCTTTTAAAGCAATGCATTTGTGAAGTTCAGTGCAAGTATGAAATTAGGTTGCTCTGTAATTTCTTTATGTTGTTTTATATCTACATTTGTTTGTCATTCAAAATGGATAGCTAGATCATACAGGTAGCTACAAAAATATTGACCAGAGTTTATGCTTCAGGTAAAAATATAAGCTTTATTATAAGAGATAAGGGTTATTTGTTTAAAACATCCAGTAAACTTTTGTAGTATGTATCAAAGTATTTATGAGAAAATGACTCTTTAAATCAGTATTCAGATTTCTTTTATACTTAAAAGTAAATGTTAATTTTACAGTGTCCTCTGCCATTATTATGTGAGAAAAGAGTAAGAAAAAATGGAAAACCTCAGAAATATATATCCTGTCCTTCAAAGGAAAGGTGTTAAATTGTTTTGACTGTTAAGAGATGGCAATTGTGCATGATATATAGTATGTAAAATCTTACATATGATAATAAGCAAAATTTCTTTTTCTATTTCTGTTGTCCCTTTGGTTTCCTTATATAACATATAAGGACCATTTAGAGTTTTTTTTTTCTATAAACAATAATATTCAAAACCTGAAAAGAGTGAAGGTATGTCATGTCTCCCACTGACTCATTGTGTGCCATCTCAACAAATGCATCAGGGAAGTTTGTGTGAACACAGGAAACAGCAGCAAGCAGGAGAATCTGGCAAAACTCGGGTTAAAGACTCCTTAGTCAACAACTGATAAAAGCTATGCATACTGTAGACGTTAACAGTCTTTTTCTTCCATTGTTTCTGAATCAATTGGTGATTTCCTTTAGGTTCACTTTTGAATAGTAAGTAACTTATATTCCTTAGGTGGTTAAAACTTAGTACCTGGGTCACACAGAAATGACTGATTTGTGTATTACACTGGTAAAATGTTCACCAAGAGTTAGGAGAGTCCCAGTTCTGTTTTTAAGACAAAGATAATGTGCTTAATTTTAGCTTCAGAAGCTTTAGATCTTAGAAATCTCATAAGTCAATGATCATTCGAATCTAATAATATGGCTCATTAATTCATTATGAAGGAAACAACAGTTGCTGTTTTGTGTGTTTTTCCAAATCATGGATCTGAAGTTTAAAATATCTTTCAACTCCCTGGGGCTATTCAAGATTCTGTCTGTGGGAAGGATGATTGTATTTTAAGCTCAATACATGGTTTCTAAACATGGAGTGAGTAGGGGTCATTATTCTCGCTTTGCACATTTCTTCCTTAAGTTGGGTTTATTGTTGATCCAAAAAGAAAATCCTGTGTGTCCTCCCATCTTCCACTTAGATTTCAGAGTATTTTCATTAATTTGTTCGTTCATGCATGAATACATTTAAAAAATAATTGGTGCTTTTAAGTAGCGAGGCCCCATGCTAGGTGCTGGGTCTACAATGGTGAGCACAATAGGCGTAGTTCAGTTCCTTGAATGCTTTGTGGTCCGTTTTTCCCTTACCACCTGCTGTTCCCTCTACCTGGAATGTTCTCCATCCTCCTAGTTATTTTCTACACATCCTTCAGATCACAGCTTAATGATCACTTTCTCAGGAACACAATTCCTAACTTGTGTTAGTTCCAATCTCCCTATTGTGTGTGCTCATTGCTTCCTATATGTTTCTTTGACAACACTTTTCAAAGTTTATTTGGAATAATATATATCATTTGGTTAATAAGGGCTTCCCTATTAGTCTTAGTCCATGAGGGCAGGCACATGCAGACACCCGCAACTTCTGCAGAACTGCCATACTATTGCTTCTGCTCATATTCTATTGGCCTAATCAAGACATATAGCTGAAACTGGAGAGTTCCCTGATCCCCATCTCAGGACGTGAAACAGGGGCGTGGCTCATCTGTTTGGCCACTGCAATATGTGCTCAAACTTTTTACAGGAGGGGGAGCATGCAGACGGGCAGGTGCAGGAACTAGGGCAAGTGCTTTTGGTCTCTGACCCCACGGGAGCATCTAGAGGTAGGTGCCTGTGACTCTCAAAGCCCCAGTGGGTATGCTACAGTGCTCTGCCATCTGTAGATGGCTTAAGTGTTAACCAGCTCAATGCCCTCTTGGTACTCGGCTCCCTATTTGGCATCCAGGAAGAATGATCCTTGTTTGGCATCCAGCTTCGAGCCCAAAAAGGGCTTGAAGGATGGTGAACGTGGGGGTTATATTGAGTGGTGGAGGTGGTTCTCAGTGGCATGGTTGGGGAGCTGGAAGGGGAATGGAGTGGGAAGATGATCTTCCCCTGGAGTTTGGCTTCCCAGCAGCTGATCTCCTCTCCTCTGTGACTGTCCCCAGCCAAACTTTTCTTGATGTTTAGGTGCTCCTTCTCATCTTTCCTCTGTCACATCATTCTGCTGCTCTTCTGTTCACCCGTTCATCTGCTTGTGGAGCCTCGGGTTTGGAGTTTATATGGGTACAGGATAGGGGGCCATGGCGGGCCAAAAGGCAACATTTGGGCACAGAAACAGGAATGCCTGTTCCCATTTAGGGCAGTGGGTTTCCAGGCTTAAGGGTGGGGCCCTAGCCAGGGAACCCCCATTTTTTACCCAGTGTTTCCCTGTCTCCTGTCCATGTAGTAGCTAAGCCCAATGGGGCAGGAATAATTCTCCACCCACAGGGAGGCACTGCAAGTCATATGGCCTAAAAGGGATGCAAAATCATCTCCTGGAGAAGGAAACAAAGACTTGGTAACAATTGTACAATTCACCATACCGCCAGAATATCCAAATAATATGCATAGATGATTTCTCCATTTATACATGTTAGATTTTATGAAAAGTTCCTATTATTGACAAAGTTTCTGTCTCCAACAGTGTCCTCATCTTTCATTCCTTCATCCCCCAACCCCCCAATATAGATACATTACTACTTTCAGTTCATCAGTGCTTCCATCAATACAACCATGTATATTGTTCACAGACAAGCCAGTTAGTAGACTGTAATTTTGTTTCCTTTTTTTTTTTTTGACAACCTTTCTTTTTCCCTTGAGTTAAAAATGGTCTTTTTGTAGCTGCAATTTTAAAACATGCATAGTCTTAATTCTTTTCACATGTTCTTTCCTCTAATATGCAGTGGTCTCTTAAATTCCCCTTTCATTTAGGCATCTCTCTATAGGTCTTTCCTTTTGCCATCCTCTCACTCCAGTCTGGATTGATTCTGTGTCTGATGTACATTGGTTACTACTAGGCTTCTCTTCACCACTCTTCTAGTGAGATTCCCTGTTTATGAGAGCCTGTACTTTCTCTTTATTAGCTTTTGCCCTTACGTTGTGGGAGCATGTCCTCCATTAGCTTCTGTGAAGGGATGGGAGAGATGCATTGGCTGAATCCTTGCATGATTCTTGTTTTTTTTGCTTCTGGGAGCTTAGTAGGACATTTTCTTTATCCTTAGCTCTAAAATATTACAAATACTGTAGCTCACAAAAATCGACTCAAAATGGATCACAGACCCAAGTGTAAAAGTTAAAATTTAAAAACTTCTAAGAGACACACAAGAGAAAATCTTGGTGACCTTGTTAGGCAAATATTTGTTTTAGACACAAAAAACATAGGTTATAACGGAGAAAAAGAATACATTAGACTTTATGAAAATTAGGACTTTTGCTCTTTGAAAACCACCATTAAGAAAATAAAAAAGGAAGACAGAATGCAAGAAAATATTTTCAGTGTGTATCTCTGACACAGGACTTGCATCCTGTAACATATAAAGAGCACTTATGGAGGTCAATGAATTTAATTTTTAAAATGAGCAAAAGATTTAAGCACACTTCACAAAAGAAACTATATGAATGCTCAATAGGCATAAGAAAAGCTGCTCAACATCATTAATCATCAGGGAAATGGATACTGAAATCAAACTGAGATAGCAACCCACATCCATTGGAATGGTTAAAATTAAATACATTGATGATACCAAATGTTAGCAAGAATGTTGAACAACAGAAAGGCCAAAATTAATTGGCAGTTTTCTAAAAAAGTTACTCACTTCTATTATGTGACTTGGACATTATTCCTGGGTATTCATTCAAGAGAAACAAAAACGTATTCACACAAACTCCTATACATTAATGTTCTTAAATCTTTATTTGTAGTAGCTCCAAACCAGAATCATCCCAAATACTGACAAATGTGCGGACAGGCAGATAAAATATGGCATATCTATACAATAAAATATTTCTTAGCACTAAAACAGAATGAATTCCTGACATATGTAACAACATACATGAATTTCAAAGTCATTACAATAAGACTGTAAGAAGCCAAATGCTAAGGAATATGCATGATACCATTTATACGCAATTGTAGAAAATGCTAACTAATCTAAAGTGACAGAAGCAAGTCTGTGGTTGCCTGGGGTTGAGGATGGAGGGAACAATTCTTAGCTGCAAAAATGCATGGGGAAACTTTTTTGGGTGATATAAATATTCTGTATTTTTGTGGCACTGGTATCGTGGGTATGTGCCTGTGCCAAAACTCGTAGAATTGTATAATTTACATGAATGCAATTTACTGTACATAAATTATATACCTTAATAATGTTGATGAAAATTAATAAATTGCATGTATGCATACATTTATTAATAGCAACTAGTAGACATCATAGTCACCAATTTGTCATCTTCAGAAAGTCTCATTAGAAAATAGGGATCATATTACAAAGAGAATGGTGCATTTAATTTGTAATTGGTTCCGTATAATTAATTCTAAAACACTTTACTGTGATATAGATTTAGTAACTCTTCAGTTACGATTATGTTTTGCATACATATCATGTAATATAATCTTTCCCTAACTATAAAAATGTTGAGCTTATGTGATAGTGTTGTATAGAGACCTTAGATAGGAATTGTTAAGTATAGAGTTGGATTTACATTCTCGTGTATTATGGGTAAAACTTATAAAAATATTCAATAAACAAACTGTTAAATCTTTAGGATATTTATGACAAAACTGGAGATTTAAACACTGACTTTACGTTAAAATATTTTCTAGATGCAATTGTGCTGTTATTTTAAAAAGTTCTTATCTTTTAGGGATATACACTGAAACAATATAATTTTTGATAATTTCTTCAAACTAATATCACAGGGGAGAAGAGAGTGAGCTTGTAGGTGAAGCAAGATTGGTTATAATCTGATAATTACTAAAGTTGAATGATGGGTCCAGGTATATGGGGGCTTATTATATTTCTGTTTATATTTGTGTATGTCTGAAATATTCTGTAATAAAAAATGTGTATATCTTCTAATTTAGAAATTTCACTTTAAGGAATTTATCTAGAGGAATTTCTCTTGGGTGTGAACAAACAACCCATAGTAATGTTCAATGCAGTACTGTTATAATGCTAATAAGACTGAAAACAAATTAAACACTTAAGAGTGAAAATTTAGTTAGATACATTATGATACATTTTTATGATATACTACCATATGACATTAAAGTGTGTCAAAAATACATAATTACATGGAAAATATTTGTGATATAGTTTTTTTTTTTTTTTGAGACGGAGTTTCGCTCTTGTTACCCAGGCTGGAGTGCAATGGCGCGATCTCGGCTCACCACAACCTCCGCCTCCCAGGTTCAGGCAATTCTCCTGCCCCAGCCTCCTGAGTTGCTGGGATTACAGGCACGCGCCACCATGCCCAGCTGATTTTTTGTATTTTTAGTAGAGACGGGGTTTCACCATGTTGACCAGGATGGTCTCGATCTCTTGACCTCGTGATCCACCCGCCTCGGCCTCCCACAGTGCTGGGATTACAGGCTTGAGCCACCGCGCCCGGCCGATTGTGATATAGTTTTAAGAAAAAAAATTGCAAGCTCTAAAACAGTATGTCCACAAAAATTTGTTTTTTAAATTTTATAAAAAGTAAGTTATATACATATGTGGGGTGTGTGTGTGTGTTTGTGTTTGTATGCATATAGAGAGGATACATACACACACACACACACACACATACACACACACACACACAGATATATATCATAATTTATATGCTCATAAGTTTCCAGTATAACTTTTTGGTAATTGGGTCTGTCTTTTTTTTGAAAGGTTGGGTGTTTTAGCTTTGATATGTTAACAATGCAATGTGGTATAAAATTTCACTATAAAATGTTGTATATGCTTTATTACTTTGTTTCTTTATATTTGTTATTGGTTAAACCTTAGAGTGTTGCACACTGCTTGGCACATAGTAGGCACCGCATAATATTATTCAATGAATAAGAATCAGTGTTGATTTAAAATCATGTTTCTGGCTGGGCACAGTGGCTCATGCCTGTAATTTCAGCACTTTGGGAGGCCGAGGTGGGCAGATCACTTGAGGTCAGGAGTTCAAGACCAGCCTGGCCAACATGGTAAAACCCTGTCTCTACTAAAAATACAAGAATTAGTCGGGTGTGGTGGTGCATGCCTGTAATCCCAGCTACTTGGGCGGCTCAAGCAGGGGAATTGCTTGAACCCAGGAGGCAAAGGTTGCAGGGAGCCCAGATCACGCCACTGCACTCCAGCCTGGGTGACAGAGTGAGACTCCATCTCAAATAAAATAAAATAAAATAAATAAAATAATGTTTATTTCTAAAATTTTTCTGTATTTTTCATATTTTCTTTGAAGAATGTATATTACTTTATCTCTGTTAAATGCAGAGACAACAGGGGAGAGACATACTACTTTTTAAATGGGAAATTCACTGTTAAAAAAGTGAATGGGGCCGGGCGCGGTGGCTCAAGCCTGTAATCCCAGCACTTTGGGAGGCCGAGGCGGGTGGATCACGACGTCAAGAGATCGAGACCATCCTGGTCAACATGGTGAAACCCCGTCCCTATTAAAAATACAAAAAATTAGCTGGGCATGGTGGTGCGTGCCTGTAATCCCAGCTACTCAGGAGGCTGAGGCAGGAGAATTGCCTGAACCCAGGAGGCGGAGGTTGCGGTGAGCCGAGATCGCGCCATTGCGCTCCAGCCTGGGTAACATGAGTGAAACTCCGTCTCAATAAATAAATAAATAAATAAATAAATAAAAAAGTGAATGGTTTTGGCAGACTGTTTCTGCTCCTCTATTCTGACATGTAGTAAAGTGAAATATACTTCTTAAAATTTTGTGTAACATCTGAATTGTATATTTAAGTTTTTTTTTTGTTTTTTTTTTTCTAATTTCAGTTCTTCAACATCTTCAAATAAAGAAATGGTTTTGAAGAATGGTAAGACTCCAATTGCGCACATGATTCCTTGTGGGATGGGGAAGGACTTTTCCTGTGATAGAATTCCCTGACCAATAGTGTCTGTATCAGGAGGCACTCATGTGAAATCTTTTATACAAGTGTATCCTAAATTATGAGCCAAAGGGGCTCAAGCTTGATATATGTGACAGTGCTTAGCATATTACTGTCACTCAATTCCATTAATAAATAAAGGACACCTAGCATTGGTAATGACATCATTATTTATTTGACAGATCAGAATAATGGAGATATGAAACCAGTCCAGAATTTCGCAACAATACCAATCACACAGGTATGGCTATGTCAGGAAACCAGATTGTAATCATCTCTTAAAAACTTAAAAACATATTTCTTTTCTTTTTTTTTTTTTTGAGACGGAGTCTCCCTCTGTCACCAGGCTGGAGTACAGTGGCGCCATCTCATCTCACTGCAACCTCTGCCTTCTGGGTTCAAGCGATTCTCCTGCCTCAGCCTCCCAAGTAGCTGGGCCTATAGGCGCACGCCACCATGCCCAGCTAATTTTTTTTTTTTTTTTTTTTGTAGTTTTAGTAGAGATGGAGTTTCACCATCTTGGTCAGGCTGGTCTTGAACTTCTGACCTTGTGATCCACTCGCCTTGGCCTCCCAAAGTGCTGAGATTACAGGCATGAGCCACCACGCTCAGCCTTAAAAACATATTTCAATCCTGTCTGTGCTCCTGTGAAAATATAAATAATAATTGTATCAATAATTAACATATTCTTGCTTGAAATTTGGATGGGGAAATGTATTATGACATCTTTTTATTTATTTATTTATTTATTTATGATACAGTTTCACTCTTGTTGCCCAGGCTGGAGTGCAATGGCATACTCTCGACTCACTGCAACTTCCACCTCCCTGGTTCAAGTGATTCTGATTCTCTTGTTTCAGCCTCCCAAGTAGCTGGAATTATAGGCACCTGCCACTACACCCAGATAATTTTTGGTATTTTTGGTATAGATGGGGCTTCACCATGTTTGCCAGGATGGTCTCGAACTTCTGACTTCAGGTGATCCTTCCGCCTTGGCCTCCCAAAGTGCCGGGATTACAGGCATGATCCCAGCCTGTAATCCCACCATGCCTGGCCTGGAATCTTTTCTTTTTAAACGTCAATTTTTGTTTTGGATACAGGGGGTCCTTGTGCAGATTTGTTATGTGGGAATAGTGCATGCGGGGTTTTGGGGTATGAATCCCATCACCCTGATGGTGAGCACAGTACCTGATAGGCAGTTTTCTAACCTATCCACTCCCTCCACCCTCCAGTGGTCGAGTGTCGATGGTTTGCATATTTATGTCCATGTGTACTCAATGGTTAGCTCCCACTTATAAGTGAGAACATGTGGTATTTGGTTTTCTGTTTATTATGGAATCTTATAGTTGAGAAAAACCCAAAATGCTTAATTTCACTTGCTCTTTTATATTTTTATTACAATATTCAGCTTCATTTTTGTTGCTATAATAATAATCTTTGGTTACTGATAAGCTTGATTTGCTTCTCTCTATTAACTAACTTTTCTTTTATCTGTATTTACACTAGAGTAATTGGTATTAATTTATTTCTTTGTATTGTACATTTTACGGGTTTTGATAAAGGTATAATGACATGCATTTACCATTACAGGATGTGAATTAGCTCTTTCACTTCTAAGAAGCCTTTTGTGCCATAGACACGAATTCATGTCTAACATTCTTTTTATTTGGTTAATTAGGCTCTCAACTACAATCTGAGCAAAGAAGGGCATTTAGAAAAAGAACCTTGGAATGCATTCAGCCATCATGGCCCAGTTAATGTCTCCATCGATGGAATGCCTTGCATTCTCTTCTGGGCCAAAAGAATCACGATTAAATTTAAGAATCAAACCTGGCTGGACCTTACAGGCCAGGCATTTGGTCAGAAGGCAACAGTGGACCCTGACAACTCAAATTGCAGTGAAGAAAGTGCTAGGTAAGTTGATCTCTCAGTTTGAGGAAGCCCTTAGTGCTACTGCCTTTTGTTAACTGCATTCAGTATTTTTGTCATTTCAGAAAAAACAAAAAGTATGTTCCATTGTATAGGACCCACACATCTTTGGGGAAGTATTTACTGTCTAACATGAAGGAACAAGTCAGAAGTTAACTTTAAAAATTGTTATATTTTCTAAGCAGTTTTCTTCTGAACCTTTTTTGCTAATTGTCAGAATAATTTGTAGAAAATGAGAATTAGGAAAAGGAGGGTTCTCAAACTCATTCTGAAAACTACAAAAGATTCCAGGCTTGTTCTTACCAAATGTTAGGTGTCAAACTACTTTTATCCTATCAGGGAAGAGATCACATATCCCAGCAGGGTCCTATGCATTCTAGTGGGTGGCACACTAGCCAGGACAAATGCTTGACTCTGCGGGGGGCAGAAGGGGATCAGTGTGCTGAAGTAGCGGAATGTTGCCTGTTTGCAAATGTGCAAGGGTACTTTTCAATGGCTAAATTCCAGAGAATTCTTTAGGATATTTCAAAATGATTGGAATAATTAGTTTTGATTTGAGATAAGCAGATTAAACAAATAACATGTTTGAAGGGCAAATCAATTTCCAATGCCTTTCTCTGCTTTTCAGTCATCCAAGCAAAAATTTTTGCTTTTATTTATTTTGGTCCAGGGAGAGGAAATCTGGCATGTCCTACTTGCTTTCTATAAACTTTCTTTTCAACATTTGTTGGTAAAATAGATGCTTTTGGAAGATTTTCTGCATTTGTTCTGGTCTGGTTTAGATGGGTAGGATGCTTTATATTAAGCATAACTGTGTGTCTGTGTGTGTGTGTGTGTGTGTGTGTGTGTGTGTGTGTGTGTGTGAGTTTCCACTTTATGTACTTTGGCTGGAAACATCCTTTTATTTCTAAACTTTACTTCTCACTTAAAAATTCTTGACAATGGGCAAAAATGAATTCTATTAATATACAATTTAAAGTCATATTACAAATCTTAGTATCTTGCTGTTCCGAATGACTGTCTTAATAGGGATTTAGGGAATTATAAGCGGAAGCATCTATAGTCCTCTCAGATTTGTTTATGCTGTTATTATAGCACAACTATCCAAGACTTTCAGAGAGGCTCCTGCACGCTGAGAGCTCAGGACCTTTTCCTGGGGTGCTAATTAATTCCCCACAGGGCTCTTTATTTGTGGTCAGTTGCATGGAGAGAGGCTGACTGCTTGGGGATAATCTTGCCCATCTATGGCTGACTGGCCCTCCTTGATTCCATTTATCCTGACCCTAGGACATTTGCGGGAAAATCAGGGTTCTACAGCTTTTTTTTTTTTTTTTTTTATTTCTGGGTTTTAGAGACCTTGTGATTACTGGGAACCTAGAGACAGAAAGAATGAAAACTTGGCTTCTAGGCCCAGTTCTACCAGTGAGCTTTGTGACTTTATAGGCAGGACCTGTGGGATCATCATCTGTCAAATGGAGCTGATGGCATCTATTCATTATAGCTATAAGGCCTTGAGTACTCACTATGGGCCAGGCACTGTGCCAGGCTTCACAGGCCCATACCTGTTATCCCTCACAGTAACTTTTGGAGGCACAGGCAGTTCTCATCCCTTTTCCTGGTGTTCCAGGAAATCAAAGCTCACAAAGGTTGGAAAACTTGCTAAGGTCATGGAGCATGTATGTTTAACAGAGCTGAAGTTTAAAATGTCTTTTAAAATGACAATTTATCTCCTTTCTCTTGGCCCTATTCTCAAAGTTGTGAAAAACACATGAGGAAATATATGCATAAGCATTTTGAGATCTTGTCGAGTGCTATTCAAAGCATTAATAGTAGTAGCATTCTTTTCCTTCCTGACATCCCAGTGATAACTAGAGTGAAATGGTGTCTAATTTCTTCAGTAAGCTTTGGGTCCTGCAGGACACAAATTTAACAATTGGGTAGGACCTGACTGTCTTTTTGGTCACTGCCTTAGAATTCTATTCAGGTGTGAGCCCTGAGTGTGCAGCGTTCACCTGCTGGAGTCCTGCACAGGTGAATATGCAGGCATCCTGGACAGCTTGCCCAAAGAGGAGAAACAGGAGGCTTCTGGGAAGGAGGTGTCAAGAACCAGATGCCGAGACCTAGTGTCTGATTCCTGTGAATTGCGTGGATGAGTGAGGCATTCTTGCGGTGCTGGCAAGGAAATCTTAAGATTTTAAGAAGCAGAATGGAAGTTGCTGAAGTAACAAACAGAAACAAAGACATAACCATGTAAGGTCAAAAGCACAGATTAAAAAAAGATGACCATGTTTTAGCTCTTGGAAACAAAATGTTCAGAGAGAGGCAAATTGTTGGCAGATGGATTTGCTACGGAAGTCTTTTTAAATAGTGAAAGCCCTACAAATAGAACATAATCCCAGCATCTGTGTCTATTTGGAATTTAGGCAATTATAGCCTGAATAATTCAGAATCCATTTTACATGTGTGAGAGTAGGGTGCTTGAAAGAGTAAAAGAACTCCTTTATGAGCAACTCTTGTTCCAGGTTGTGCTTCTCCTTTGTATTCCCAATTGGTGGCACAGTGCCTGGTACTTAAAAGATCCTCATGGCCAAGCATAGTGGCTCACACCTGTAATCCCAGTATTTTGGGAGATAGGCAGATCTCCTGAGGTCAGGAGTTAGAGACCAGCCAGGCCAACATGGCAAAACCCTGTCTTTACTAAAAATTAAAAAATTAGCCTGGCGTGGGGGTGCATGCCTGTAGTCCCAGCTACTCATGAGGCTGAGGTAGGAGGATCGTTTGAGCCTGGGAGGTGGAGGTTGCAGTGAGTGGAGATTGTGCCACTGGCCCTGAGCCTGGGTGGCCGAACAAGACCCTGTTTCAAAAAAACCAAAACCAAAACCAAAGCCAAAAAAAAAAACCACAATCTGCCCCAAAGTTTCTGTGTGTTCTTTGTAATCCATCTTTCCAACCACTCCCACATCCCCAGATAACCACTGATCTGCTATCATATCAATTAGTTTGCATGTTCTAGAATTTTATATAAATATCCTCACACGTGTGCACTATTTTTTAGTGTAGCCACTGTCACTTAGCTTAATGATTTTGATAATCTTCTACGTTATTGCATGTGTCAATGGTATTTCCCTTTTCATTGCTGGGTAGTAGTCCATTGTATTGATGTACCGCAACTTACTTATCCATTCACCTGTTGATAGAAATTTGTTTTTCCCTCACTTTTTGTATAACTTTCCAAATAAAATCACTATGAATATTCATGTATGAATCTTTGTGGCAGCAGGTGTTTTCATTTCTCTTAGATGTCATTCCAACTAGGAGTAGAATGCTTGGATCATATGGTATGTGTATGTTTACCCTTTTAGAAAACAGCCAAACTGTTTTTTAAAGTGGCTGCATCATTTTTCCTTTTCTCCAGCATTGTATGAGAGTTCCAGTTACTTCACATTCTCACTAATAATTTGAATGTTCAGAGTGAGACTAGAGAAAGCATTTTTGTATTTCTGCATGTTTAGGAATTTCTGAACAATTTTTTTTTTACTGGGAACTGGGTTAAAAGATAAGTGTTAGAGTTAGTGACAGATTTACCTCTTGAAAGGAAAGTGTTCATGTATCAAGTGGTAATGAAACTCAAGGTCATAGAGACATTTGAGGGGTTAGAAACCCAGGAGGCTTGTCTTATCCTCCCTTCAGAGACATGTATTTACATACCATGGGTATGAGACCTGCAGCCATTTGTCTCCCTTATGGTGAGCTATTTGCTTCCATCCAAAGGCTAATTAAATTCTTCCATCCAAAGACTAATCATCCCTCTTCTCTTCCTAGGGAGAATTTTCTGACACTAGGAGAGCACATGTTTCCCTCCCTCTCTTGGGAGGTGAGAAGGGAACCACTGTCTCTTTCCTATATAAACTCCCAGATTCATAATTTTGGTGTTCCTCGTCTGTATTATAAATCCCTGCATGTGTAGGATGACATCTGGCTCTTCTCATGCTCCCTAGAAGGGGAGAATTGGATTAGAAGGGGGAACCAATATGGTTGTTCCCGTGAGTAAGTCAATTCATCTGTCTTTGCTCTGGGAAATCTTATGTTTACTCTCAGGAAAATAGGAATAAATGTAGGTATTAAAAGCTTAAGAATCACTTGAAAAAATGTTTTAACCATTCTGATTCCTGTACCCTGTTATCTTTATTGTGTTTTGATTTTACGTTTTCCAAACGTCTAATGATCCTGAGCATCTTTTCATGTACTTATCGACCATTTGTATATCTTTCTTTAAAACATGCTTGAGTCTTCTGACAATTTTTATGATTTTTATGTTGGGCTATCTTTTCATGAAGTTGTTAGAGTTATTTATTATATTCTGGATAAAGTTCTTTATGTATACGTGTTGTGAGTATTTTCTCCTGTTCTGTGGTTGCCTTTCTTGTTTCCTTATACAGTGTCTTTTGAAGAGCATAAGTTTTTGATTTTAATAAAATGCAATCTATCAGTTGTTTCTTTTATTGTTTATGCATTTGTATTTTTTTCAGGAAACCACTGCCTACCTCAAGATTAAAAAAATGTTCATCTATACATTTTGTAGTTTTAGGTGTTATGTGATCTACCTTGAGGTAACTTTTGAGTAGATATGAAGTTAGGATCATTCTTATTTTCATAGGCTGCGTTGTTTTTTGTTTTCCTTAGGTTGTCTTTGAAGCTTGGTGATGCTGAAAACCCCAGAAGTCTTGCTATAAGGTAGGCAGGACACCAGTTGGATAATTGCAGTTTCAGCCCTTCAGATTAGCTCTATAGAATTTATTCATTCCACATGAGTGAAGCAAGGGCTTGCTATATGCCCAAGCACTGTGACACATCACATGCCACATCAACCTAATTACACTGAAAAGTTGGTGCTGTGATATGATGGGACCCTATAGTAATGCTTTCTTTCTAAAAGTTTCTACCAAAATACCCATAGTTCTTCCCTCTCCCCCAACCCGCATGCTGCCTACATTAGGGACTTAGAGCTAATTCCCAAACCTGAGAATGTAATATCCTTTTCCTCTGAGAAAAGAATAACATATAAATAAAGCTCTCAGGGCTGGGGCTCTGGTTTGAAATTATTTTCTATAGCTTCTTATAATGAACTGCACTTACCATTTAACTACAATGAAAAAGCCTCGTTACTTGTATTCCTCAGCAGACAATCAACAGAGGCCTATAGTTTTTTGGTGTTTAGGTATGAAAGGATTCATGTGCCAACAGTGGCTTTAGCCAGGCAGTTAGGAACTCCTGAGGGGGAGGGAACAATTTGAAGGCATTAATTTTTTTTTCTTATAAATATCCAGTGCTTCCCTTCCTATAAGACAAATGGACAAATTCGTTAGTGGAGATAAGTAGTTGTGTCTTTAACATTATTTGGAAGACCAGCAGGACTGTGCTAGGCAGTCTTTCTTAAGCTTTGCTCTATGGGACACCTCTGCTTTGGGAAAATATAAGATTTTACAAAAAGGGGGTTCTGCAGTCAAATGTATCTGGGAATGACTATAACCCATGTCTACTCATTGGCAATTCACAGTGTAAATTTGTATGTTAAAGTTTCTGAGAAGACATAATCTAGAAGACTATTGTACTTTGTAACTTTGACTAACTCAGTGCTTCCTGTGTTTAACTTTGGAAAGCCTTCTTCCTCAGAACACTTGTCTACATACCTTGGGACACTAGTGTTTCACTGATCATAATTTAGAAAATATATGCCATTATCTTTCAGAGCAACTTTGCAAGTAAATAGAATCCCACAATGTTAACAAACACACATATCTGTTTGATCTAGAAATGGAGAATATTTTTGATCTGGAATTGCACTTTTTTCCAAAATGAAAAATAGCTTTGTTGTTATTATTTAGTCTGATAATAAGGTATGTAGCAATACCCCATTAATACCTATGTGGCCCTTTCCATTTGAGAGCACTGTAGCCTACCTGCTGAACTTTCACCTCCCAGCCTCTCTTTGGCTAAAAACTTTCTCTGGCCCATTGCCCCCAGTCCCTAGCCCAGCAACCTGCTTCAACCAATGGCTGAAGGAAACATACATACACCTCAGCTCCTTCCCTCCCCGTCGGGTGAGGTAACTCAGCAGCATGTGCTGTACTCTGGTGCCCAGGTTTCATGATGGCCACAAAGCCTTGCTTGTCCACGTTGGAAACTTGCTTAATAATGTGCCTCTTTTAGCTGCCTTCCCTTCCTCTGTCATTTCTTTTCTCTCCATTTTACATATTTTGAATGGCTAAACTCCTCCAAATATTTCTTATATTCACACCCTTGTCTCAGGGTCTGCTTGCAAAGGAGCCAAACAGAGACAAGAAAAACTAATGAAAACAGAAAAATGAGAAGATATTGAGCTACAGAAAGAAGAAAATGAAAATCATCAATAATCTAAACACCATTTGCAAACACTAATGTTCTGATCTCTATCCTTCCAGATATTTTTTTCTATGCAGTCACATATTTTTTTAAAAAACTGAAGTAAAAATGATAGTGACAAGTAAATTATGACTTTTTCATGGCTGGAGACAGTCTATTCCAAAATAGTTAAGATTGGATTTGAAGGCCAGCTCTGACACTTACTCTCCAAGTGAGCTTATTCAAGCCCTTTGTGTCTTAAATTCCTCGGCTGTGAAATTAGGACGAGGACATTATCGCATGGTATTGTAGTGACAATTAAATACAATACACATACACAACACTGAAGCTATTAAGAGAGCTGTTACTATTATTTTAAACCACAGTTTAGCAAATTCTTCATGGATGCCCATTTTTCTCAAGAATTTTCAATAATAAACACATAATCAAGTGTTGATTTTAAAAAAGGAAAAACAAAATCAAATAAACCCAAACCCTGTGTGTTTTTTCTTTGGTAGGAATGTGTACTGTCCCCTTTGGGGGCGGGGCCCTTGGCTCTTACCCAGCCATCCATCCAGGGGAGACTGCGGCAAAAGTGAAGCCTCTCCCCAAGCCCATTCTGCCGCCTGACAAAAGAGGGCGCCATTGTACTGTTCATAGACAATACCTTGCGTCAGCAAATGTGGGAAAAGTGCTTTGCGAGTAATGCTGTTTTATAACCATTTTCAGATTCATCCTTACCAATTACAACAAGTTGTCCATCCAGAGTTGGTTTAGTTTGCGCCAAGTCGAGATCGTTTCCAACAATTCAATCCAAGCGGTCTTTAACCCAGCTGGCATATATGCTCCGTCCGGTTACTCCTACCGCTGCCAACGCGTGGGCAGCCTGCAGCGGGACCATGCCCTCTTGCTGCCCAGTGACACAGATGATGGGTCGAGCCTGTGGGAGGTCACTTTTATTGATTTCCAGGTAATGAAACCTATGCTCAATGCACCTGCGTTTTTGACCAAAGGAACTCAATGTTTGTTTAAAACACCTGAAACAAACGTAGATGCTTACGGAGAAGAGAAGTAGATATCTTTAAAAGAATATTGGTTTTTCTTTCCCTTTGTCTTTTAAGGTAAGAATGAAATAGGATAGAGAATTTTCTCTCCTTATGGTTCCCACCTCCTACCCAGGGCTTGCTTTTACTTTTAGGTTTATACGGCACGAATAATTATCAGTGAGAAATGCCAGCCATCTAAGTCCTAGTGAAGCTGCGGGTGAAGCCAGTGACTGACATTTCCTGGACTGAGAGGCCCTTCTGGGGAGAGGCATTGTCGGACAATTATTTTATTTCCTTTAGGGAGTGGTGCAGTGATCCTAACAGGGAAGATAAGATGTACATTTGCAGTGTGAGTGACAGCTTTGGCAGTAGGAAGGGACTCAGCCAGGGAGTCAAAAATATCCCAAAGATCTTGAAGGTATTTGGGGAAAGGAATGGGGTGTAAGAGATTCCTTTTCACCACCAGAATCTCAGGCTGAGAGACATCTGTCAAGTTCCTCTATCCTGTTTACCTGTGAATGAAGCTTAGCTTGTTCCTACCACTCACCAAAATAGTAGGCAGGGCTTTGCATGTATCTTTCATGGGCACATTCCAACCTTTTCCAGATATAAATGGCCATTCCGCATATATGCATATTCTTCCCTTCCATCCTTCCCAAACTTGGAGAAGTGTGGTGTTGATGAGAGGCAGTGTGGGGTAGGGAAGGAGCCTGCATTTTGGAGTCAGGCAGACCCGGTTTCAAATTACTCCTCAGCCACCAGGGCAAGTTACTTAATCTCTCTCACTTTCACACCTATCTTTATTAAGGTAAAGAATACATGGCCTAATACATGTGGAAACACTCAGGAGTGTGCAGGCATGGACTAACAATCATTGCTACCTGTGAGCACCCGTGTGTGTTGGTGCTGCTCTTGTTATTTTATGTACTTTGTCTTCAGAACTTACCATAATGCTGCAAGATCGTTTTACAAATGAGGTAACTGAATCTCTGATAATCACATAATCTTTCTAAGGAATGTAACTGGTAAATGGTAGAGGTAGAACTCAAATTCTGGACGGTTTGGTTCCAAGGGTTCCTTGGTGTGTGGTTGTGTGTGTATATGAAGTTTATAGATATTATTAATATATATTGTATAGGTATATGTCTCTCTATATATGTATATGCGTGTGTGTATATATACATATACAGAAATGGCAGTGAGGAGATAAGGACAACAAGGAATATTTTACAAATAATTTTGCCTAATTAGACCAGGGGAATTGATTGATTTATACCTTTACCTTGTTCTAGAAATAACTTAAGTGACTTATGGAAATACTGCTGATGAAAAATTACTTTAAAATATGAACAAATCACTTCACATCCATTAGGATGGCTATAATGATAAACAACAACAAACAAACAGAAAATAACAAGTGTTGGCAAGGATGGGGGGAAGCTGGGACCCTTGTGCATTGCTGTTGGGAATGTGAAATGGTGTCGATGCTGCGGCAAACAGTATGGAGTTACCTCAAGAAGTTAAACATATAATTACCAAGGGCTCCAGCAGCACTACTTCTGGGTATATACCCCAAATAATTGAAAGCAGGGACGTGAAAAGCTTTCACCTATGTTTATACCTATGTTCATAGCAGCATTCTTCACAATAATTAAAAGGTGCAAGCAACCCAAATGTCTATCAATGGATGAATGGATCAACAAAACCTAGGGTATATGTACAATGGAATATTATTCAGCATTAAAATGAAGAAAATTTGGAGGCTGGGCATGGTGGCTCATATCTTTAATCCCAGCACTTAGGGAGGCTGAGGCAGGAGGATCACTCTTGAGCCCAGGAGTTTGAGACCAGCCTAGGCAACACAGTGAGACCCCCATCTCTGCTAACAATTAAAAAAAAAATTAGCTGGGGCATAGTGGTGTCACCTGTAGTCCCAGCTACTTGGGAGGCTGAGGTGGGAAGATTGCTTGAGCGCAGGAGATCGAGGCTGCAGTGAGCCAAGATTGTACCGCTGCACTCCAGCCTGGGTGACAGATGTCTCAAATAAATAAATAAATAAATAAATTTAAAAAGAGGAAGGAAATTTGGATACATGCTACAGCATGAATGAACATTGAAGTCATAATGCTAAGTGGAATAAGCCAGCCACAAAAGGACAAATGTTGCATGATTTCATTTATATGAGATACTTACAGTGGTCAAACCCTGAGATGGAAAGTAGAATAGTAGGGGTCAGGGACTGAAGGGCGGAGGGAATGTGCAGGTAATGTTTAATGGGTGCAGGATTTCAGTATTGCAAGACGTGAAAGAGTTCTAGAGATAGATGGCGCCTATGGTCACACAACAATGTGGATGTGCTTAATAGCACTGCCCTGTATACACTTAACACAGTTTAATGGTGAATTTTATGTCATATATATATATATATATATATATATATATTTTTTTTTTTTTTTTTTTTTGAGACAGAGTTTTGCTCTTGTTGCCCAGGCTGGAGTGCAATGGCACAATTTCAGCTCACTGCAACCTCCTCTTCCCAGGTTCAAGTTGTTCTCCTGCCCCAGCCTCCTGAATAGCTGGGATTACAGGCACCCAGCACCACGCCTAAGTTTTTGTGTTTTTAGTAGAGACAGGGTTTCTCCATGTTGGCCAGGCTGGTCTCAAACTCCTGACCTCAGGTGATCCAACTGCCTCCGCCTCCCAAAGTGTTGGGATTACAGGCATGAGCCACTGTGCCCAGCTCTCTCTATATTTTGTAACAAAAAGTTAAAACAAAAAATTTAGCAAAGACATGGGGGTGAAGAAACACAAAGGAAGAAAAGTCAGTTAGAGTCACCAATGAGGTTAGGGCACAAAACCACTAGACCACCTGTCTGCACTGGTTTTTTGGTGGCACAGTAATTTGGCTTTGATGTTCTGGAGCAGTTAGTATGTGAAACACTCGGTTACAATTTCTCTTGTTCCTAAGACTACAGTGAATGTGCTTAGGATGAACACATTCATCCATGGTGTTGTGAGATGTATACATCCTCATCATCATTCTTACCATAAACACAGTTTCAGGGAGACAGGTGGGCCCTGTTGAAACCCCTTTTGTGTGCAGAAATGGCAGAAGGCAAGCTGAGTCCAGGGGAGAGGAGGTGGTGGTGATGGTGGCTGACATTTGTGTACAGAGGGCTGCTGTCCACATGTGCAGCTTTGCTGGCCTGGAATAGAGGTGGGAATAGAGTATAGAGCGATATGGCCTGTGCGGCAAACTCAAGTACCTTGGGCAACTGGCGAAGTGGCTGGGACTGTGGCAAAGGGTAGCCTTCTTCACAATGAGCATTTTACAGATTCAACTGCAGCTGATTTTTGCTTTGTAGGAATGCAGGGCTGGTGTTGCTGGGTCTTTTCAATAGAAGCTAGAATGGTTGATTCTCACAGGAAATTTTTAGGATATTCTGAGCACTGGGTCAAACAAAACTCACCTGTGAGCTAGAAACAGCGTGTCTGTATAACCTCTAGTCCAGGAAATGGTGGACAATATATCCTTCATGCATCCTCCACACTTACTGTTTTCAGCCAAGTCTTGTTAATTATTAAGTGGCTGGGCATGGTCGCGCATGCCTGTAATCCCAGCACTTTGGGAGGCCAAGACAGGTAAATCGCCTGAGGTCAGGAGTTCGAGACTAGCCTGGTTAACATAGCAAAAACCCCACCTCTACTGAAAATACAAAAAATTAGCTAGGCATGATGGTGAGCACCTTTAATCCCAGCTACTTGGGAAACTGAGGCAGGAGAATTGCTTGAACCTGGGAGATGGAGGTTGCAGTGAGCCAAAATCATGCCATTGCACTCCAGCCTGGGCGATAAGAGCAAAACTCCATCTCAAGAAAAAAAAAAATGATGTGGCAGTCAACCTGAGGGCATTCTCCTGGGCTGAAGTTACAGAATCAAGTGAGGTCCTCATTTGTCATGGAGGAGCTCGACTCTTCAGGCTCCAGTCTGAAGAGAAGGTCACTCTGCCTCTTCACAGGAGAGGCAGGGCAGGGATCCCTGAAGCCAGGATGAATCTCCTTCAGAAGCTGCTTTGGGTTCAATGGTGAGCACAGACAGTTGGGTGAGCTAGTCCCCTTGTGTCTATGGAGTGATTGGTGGCCTTGATAATTTTAGCACGGGACAATGCTAAAGTGCTCACTTAAGCCATCAAAGTGAATTTTCAGTAAAGCATTCATGGATAGTTCAGTTTTCTGATGTACTCTTTGAAAACCGAGTAGGTGTCTGAATGAGGCAATGCTGTGTAGGTCATACTTTTAAAGCCAGCTAAACAGGGTGCTGTCTTCCACATTTTGAAATAATTTATCTATAGTCCTGTTTCATTTTGATAGTGCCAGTTAGATATCAGTGCTAGTTCTCTATTTGAACCTCTCTTCCTTCCGGGTAATTATACCATTTCATCTGCCCACAATGGAAAGCTTTCCTTTCTGTTTGGTTGGTGCAAAAGTGATTGCAGTTTGTGCCATTAAAAGTAATGGGTAGGGTGCAAGGAGGAGCTGGTATCCACCTCGTCCAGAAGTGGGACAGAGTCTGTATGATAAAATCAATAGAGAGAGGGTAGGGAGGAGGCAGAGACAGAACCCACCAGGAGCTGTGGAGTATGAGTTTGATGCACACTGCTCGGATTTCAATTATACCATCACAATATTTACTGTTGTGTGACTCTGGGCAAGTTACTTAATTTATCTGTGCCTCGGTTTCCCCATCCATAAAGTAGGAATAAAATAGTAACTTACTCATAGGCTCTTTGCATACTAAACAAATTAAGGCAGTATATGGTACACAAAAACCTTCAATAAATGTTAGCTTTTATGATTATTATTTATGTTTTACCTCATTGAGGATCATGACACCCCCCCTTCAAAGACTCTTCCTAATTCCTGTCAGTCAATAGAATCAAAGGCAGAGGAACAGAGACATAAAATCTTTGTGAAACTTATACTAACCGTGTAAAATTTTGAATGTGCTTTGAATTGTAGAGATACCACAGCAGTTGCGGTTTTTACATGAACTGGAGTATTTCTAAGGATCAGATTAAAAGAGGTTTTATTTCAGAGTCTTGAAATCAAGGTTTTATTTCAGAGTCTTGAATTTCATGAGCCCCCTAGTTATGACAACCATACATCCCAGAATTTCTGGGTCAGTACTGATTTAAGGTTAAGTTGCACTGTCCCCATTAGCACAATCACATTTGTCAAATCATGTGGTTAAATTATTCAGCAAATATAGCGACAGTATATTAAATTTGGCTACCTAGGGGCCAGAACTGCCAGCCCAAATGGGAGGTAGATCCTAGGAGACAAGGGATGTATCACTTCAGCTCCTTCCTTTCTCCTGCAGATCCAAGGTTTTGCCATTAAGGGGGGACGATTTACCAAGGCCCGAGACTGCGCCTCCTCATCCTCACCTGCTATTCTGATCGGCCTGGCAACATCCCTGATCCTGCTGCTGGTGTTGGCCTATGCCCTGAACATGCTCATCTACCTGCGGTATCTCGACCGGCACTATGATCTCATTGCCTCTCCTGCCCACTTCCCACAGCTGAAAGCTCGAGACACCGCCAAAGATAAGGAACTGCTGAGGAGCCAGGAGGCTGAATGCTACGAACTGAGAAGCCAGCAGCTCAGCAAAACATATGCTTAGCAGCACAGGCTGCCCCTACCACATCCACAGTGGGCTCCGAAAATGGTTTCTGTTCTGTGCTATTTGACTTGTGAATTAAAGATTTTCACCAAATGTCTTGATTACAAAAACAAACAAACAAAAAATGAAAAGGAAATACACAATGAATTCTTTTTGAGCCATACTCTGGCCTACTTAGGTAGACTTGGGCCAATGAAAAAGGCCTCTCAGGGGTTCCACAGAGACAAATATGGCTGTTAGTTGCCTCAAAGTACCCCAAAAGCAAAGGAGTATTTCAAGTAGGGAAATAGAAGAAAGAAAGAGAAAGAAAGAAAGAAAAAGAAAGGAAAGAAAGAACGAAAGAAAAACAAGAAAGACAAGAAAGAAGAAAGAAAAATAGAATGATTGGCAACACAGAGAAGGGAAAATACACTTGGTCCTCCTTGCCTGTGCCAGTTTGAATGTGATAATTATAGAAACAAATCCAAGTTTACCTGGAAGTTAATAATTTCAACTATTTTGTAACATAATGTGCATTTCTAGATATTATGTCCCAATTTTGTTTTAACGAATACTCTTTTTCAAAGAAATATTTAGAGGACTCCATGTAGCACAGCACGTTATTTAAGGACCTGCTTGTCCTTTATTTTGCTATTCAGAAGCAGCACAGCTCCATCTGTGAAGTAGGAGTAATAGTCTTGGCCATATTTTACCTTTCCATCTGGTCAAGGTGCCAGGGTTGTCTCATTTGTCTGATTTAGACCTCCATGAGCTGTCATAGGTCCATCTGAAAGAAACAATAGAGCTAAGCAATAACAGTGTGCTTGCTATGCAAACACGGCTTTGAGGTACATCCCCTGACCTTCCTTCCAATAAGATAGTGTCCTTTAAATGCTTCCTGAATAGGAATTCTGGAGCCAGCACTGATATTCTTGCCATCACTGTCTTTCATATGCATGCCTCATCATCCTTTTCAGCCCTTGGAAGATACTGAAGATTGATTCACTCATCTGCACCAAAGCATCCCTAATAATATGTCTTTTGTCTTAAAGAGATCTTAAATACAAAGATGACATTGCATTTTCCCAGCTGGGGTTTGATACAGCACCTAGGTTATACTAGGAAGATGCTCCTACACAAAACTTATGCAGATGAGAACAATGTGCAGGGTTTGAGGGTCACACACAGAGCAAGAGAATCTTCTGGGCAGCTGTCACAATGGGTCTGCTGTCTAGTTCCATCCTAGGTGGCAAGCTGTAGATGATAATGTCAGTGAGTTTTCTCATGGGACAATCTCGTGTTGCGCATTTATTCTGGCTGCAATTTTCTTGGCTATGAATGTAGGTTTGGTTCTGGCCCTCTCAGAATTCTGTAAGATCCCATACTTTATAGGAAATTTGTTTCTGTTTTAATACAGAGTTGATTCTGTAGTCTGCAACAAAGGATTTCAGGAAATAGACAAGAAAATGCGAATCTATGATTGATTATCCAACTCCATTTGGCTTTAAACTGGTGGAAACTGTCAACCTTAGAGAATGATATTCAGTAATAAAACAGATTTTTATTGTGGTTCCCTTGAGCATCCACTGGTGTTATAAGTGGCTGTTTGCTAGGTTACCGGTATGTGAAGGGTAAACATAACATATTGTTCAAACTAGGACAGTTTTGAAAGAGAAAGCAGGTGTTAATTCCCAACAGGCATAATAGGATGGTGCCAAGGAAACTGGGATAGATAGTCACTGTGGGTATGGACGGTACCCTGCAAGTTAGGCTGGCTCTTTCTAACTGTGCCCAATGGCTTATAGACTGGGAAGTTTCCATGACTGATCTAAAGGGATCCCTTTCCTTTTCTGGCATGATGGAAAATCAGACACAGTTCAGATCCTGCAAACCACTTACCTGCATTGCAGGTGAAATTCATAGCTTTGCTGGATCTCTTATATGAACACGAGAATATTGATTGCAAAACAAAAGAACCCTGACAGGCTAAGAGCAGTGGCTCACACCTATAACCTCAGCACTTTGGGAAGTCAAGGCAGGAGGATCACGTGATGCCAGGAGTTCAAGACCAGATTGAACAACGTAGTGAGACCCTCTCCATACAAAAACAATTGAAAAAAAAAAAAAAAAGGGTGATGGTATGCACCTATGGTACTAGCTACTTAGGAGGCTAAAGCCAGGAGCATTGCTTGAGCCCAGGAATTTGAGGTTGCTGTGGGCTATGATCATGTCACTGCATTCCAGTCTGAGTGACAGAGTGAGAACTTGTCTCTAAAAATAAAATAAAATAGGCCAGACACAGCCTGTAATCCCAGTATTTTGGGAGGGTGAGGCAGATGGATCACTTGCGCCTCCTTCAAGTGATCCAGGTGTTTTGAAATCAGCCTGGGTAACACAGCAAGATCCTGTCTCTACAAACAACAACAACAAAAATTAGCTGGGCATGGTGGCATGAGCCACAGTCCTAGCTACTCAGGAGGCTGAGATGAGGCTGGAGGATCACTTGAGTTCAGAAATGTGAGGCTGTGGTAAGTTACGATTGTGCCACTGCATTCCAGCCTGAGTGACAGAGTAAGACCTTGTTTCAAAAATAAAATAAAATTAAAAATATAAAAAAATAGAGAAACATTGAGAATAGAAATAGTAACTTTCAGTAAGATTTAAATTTTTAAGAACGTTGAACTCCCAAATTCCACTAAGGTTTTTCTTATTAGCAGAAGCAACCCCTGTGAGACGCAGCTATTCCTGCCTTGCACAGAAGACACTGTGATAAGTTCACCAGAAATAGTTGTCTTGCCAGGGGCTGTCAATTTGCCTCATTGCCTCTAGGCAATTAGGGACACATTCTGGCATATACCAGGGAACCCATTGTAAAGCCAAATCTGTGATAATAAAATTGCAAAAATGGTTTTGCCAACTTATGCAACAAAAGATTTGGGAGATTATGTGTAGTAATGGATTCTGGAGGCACTAGCCCAGGGAATGTGCTGTATAATTTTAGACTGGGGTGAATGTTTTGGATATGGGTTCTCTTACCAGAGATTTTGGATTAAATGTGCTGGTTTGAGTGGCTGAAAGTGTTCCTAACAGTTTGCTCAGTTTGTTGATTAAAACCTGGATTCAACAGTGGCACACATTAAACGAAGTGGAGAGATCAGTCATTTCTTAGTATTAGAGAGTGAAAGAAGAGAAATGTAATAAATCATTGGGATGTAGAAATGGATTTATCATGTGTGAACTGCTCTCCCTCCCCGTAACTATTTTTTTCTGTAAAGGCCCAGAGGACACTCCCTTTGTCATAGCACTGAGGAATACATTGGGAACGTGGCATCCGCTTTTTTGGAAAGTGCCCTGGTGGCTGTCCTCTGTAGCCTACAGATGGAGGTAGATGTTACATTTGAAATAGAATGTTTAGTCTCCATAGAGATGCTGAGATCTTGGAGTGGCAGAGGGTGAGTAGCAGCCCAGTAACCTTAAAAGGCTGATGGGCAGGAGTGTTAATCAGATTAGATTGTCTTTGTTAATGGTAAATTGATCTTTGACATATGTGGCTGGACAATCCACTGAGGTACCTTTTGATCTGAATAATAATAACAATGTTGATGATATAATCTAGATCTGGTATAAAAAGCCTGACTCACACCATCATGGTAGATTCCCAGAGCCGAGTCTGGTCATAACTCAGATCCCTTGAGTGAGAAACAGACCGCTTAAGACAGGATCCTTGGTCCTTATGTCGGTGTTGAGCATTGTTATGAACGATTGTATGCTTATCCATCAGGTCTTCATCTTTTTGCATCACTTCTGGTATGTTCTGATCTTCAGGTAAAGAACCCACACTATTCATATGAATACGTTTACTATAAACCCATTAGATATGTGATGATTGCTCAGGAATTGTTAGCACTGCAGAAACATAGCCTAAGAGCTATGTGTCTCCTTGGAGATCTGGAACAAAATGGCAAAAAAGTGATGTTTGACACAAGTTGGAGTTGAAGGCAAAACGAAAGCATGGCAGAAGGAAACACATATGCAAAGTCTAGGCTCTGTCATGTATGGAGAACTATGAACACATGTGTGTGGGTAGGTATACAGAATGTGTTTAGAAGAGTTAAGAAAGAGAAGCTGGGCCGGGCGCGGTGGCTCAAGCCTGTAATCCCAGCACTTTGGGAGGCCGAGGTGGGTGGATCACGAGGTCAAGAGATCGAGACCATCCTGGTCAACATGGTGAAACCCCGTCTCTACTAAAATTACAAAAAATTAGCTGGGCATGGTGGCGTGTGCCTGTAATCCCAGCTACTCAGGAGGCTGAGGCAGGAGAATTGCCTGAACCCAGGAGGCGGAGGTTGCGGTGAGCCGAGATCGCGCCATTGCACTCCAGCCTGGGTAACAAGAGCGAAACTCCATCTCCAAAAAAAAAAAAAAAAAAAAAGAAAGAGAAGCTGGAGATGAAGAGAGAGACCAGATGCTTGTATTCACCTAAAGACTTAGAATCTTGACTTGAGGTAATTGAGAGGCCCTTAAGAGGATTTTGGAGGATTTAGAGCAAGACGATTACATGGTGTGGAAGTGTGAATAGAATAGAAAGAGAAGTGCTGATTAGGAGATTATTGCAATAGCTCAGGCAAAAAATATTAAGACCTGAACTAACACAGTGGGATGGAAGGTAGAAGCTAAAAGAGGTGTTAGGAGGTTGGCAATCAATTAGCAAATCACAAGTGAATGGCAGGTGTCTGATTTGGGGTTGTAAGGATGGTGGTGTCAGGCTCTGCGATCAGTGAGAAAACAGATGAGGGTGGGAGTGGCAGGGCCCTGGAGTCTGACAGTAGAGGTCCGAGTGGGCAGTTGGTTGTATGGATCTGGGGTAAAATAGAGCGATCTGAACCAGAAACAGAAATTAGAAATGTAGCAGATGTTATCTGCATTTCACCCATATTGCTTTGCACTTACCATTTTGATGCATTCTGGCACGTCTTTCCATTGCCAACAACTTCCTCAGGGGCTTCTCTAGCTATGGTCGTGGCAGGCTGGAAGGGTTAAGGAGCTAATGCTTTCTGGGAGTAGCCCTCAACCATGATTCTCAGGGATTGTGTACGAAAGCAGCAACTCATTTGCCCTTTGCGTGGGATAACTCTAGAGTATGTTTTACGCTGTTCCCTGGAGGTCCC